AGTTATGCTAATGAGCTCCTGCACCTCTTTTTCTACGAAATGACCCCTGTCGATGGCCATCTGACAGCGATGCGGGTTCTGTGAACTGAGGCAGAGCATGAGAAGGGAGGGCAGGAAGGGCTGCATCAGGGCTTAGTTCTTGTGGGTCAGGGAAATGCCAATCACCACTTTGGGGTCAGGAAGCAATTTTTCTCCAGACCAGTTTGGCCGGGGATCCTGGAGGGTGGTTTGTTTCTTTTTTTGCCATCTTCTGGGCATGGAGCAGGGGTCACTGCGGATGGCGGGGAAATATTTGTGGATTTCTTGCCTTGTGCAGGGGTTTGGACTAGATCAGGGGTGGCCAAAGTACGGCTCGGGAGCCGCATGTGGCTCTTTCACACATATTGTGAAGCTCCCGGCAGGGCAGCTGGGGAATAAGCATATGGAGCAGAAGTCCATCAGTGGCTATTAGCCATCAGGGTATAGCCAGGAACTCTCGGTCTGGGGCAAGGGATGCTCTGTATTCTTGGTGCCTGGGGGGGGGGGACAGTGGGAGGGCTTCTAGTGTCCTGGCCCCACTGCTGGACCTCCTGATGGCACCTGCTATTTTTGGCTGCTGTGTGACCCAGAGTGTTGGACTGGATGGGCCACTGGCCTGATCCAACATGGGCTTCTCTTATGTTATTATGAAGCGAAGGGGAGGCATGCCTCCACAGTTGGTCTTCCCTTTTCCTTGCTTTCTTTCCACCACTCCCTTCCCCATCTCCTTTCTTTTTTTCCTCTTTTTCTCTCTCACTTTCTTGCTTTCCTTCCTTCCTCTCTCTTTCCTCCCTTCCTCTCTCTCTTGCTTTCTCCTTCCTTCCTTTTGCTTTCCTTCCTTCCTTTCTCTCGCTTTCTCTTTCTCTCCCTCCTTCCTTCCTTTTGCTCTCCTTCCCTCCTCTCTCTCTTGCTTTCTCCTTCCTTCCTCTCCCTCTCTCTCCCTCCTTCCTCTCTTCCTTTCTCCTTCCTTCCTCTTGCTTTCTCTTGCTTTCCTTCCTTCCTTTCTCTCTTGCTTTCTCTTTCTCTCCTTCCTTCCTCTCTCTTGCTCTCCTTCCTTCCTTTCTCTTGCTTTCTCCTTCCTTCCTCTTGCTTTCCTTCCTTTCTCTCTCTTGCTTTCTCTTTCTCTCCCTCCTTCCTTCCTCTCTCTCTTGCTCTCCTTCCTTTCTTTCTCTCTCTTGCTCTCCTTCCTTCCTTCCTTCTGCTTTCCTTCCTTCCTCTCTCTTCCTTTCTCCTTCCTTCCTCTTGCTTTCCTTCCTTTCTCTCTCTCTTGCTTTCTCTTTCTCTCCCTCCTTCCTTCCTCTCTCTCTTGCTCTCCTTCCTTCCTTTCTCTCTCTTGCTTTCTCCTTCCTTCCTTCCTTCCTTCCTTCTGCTTTCCTTCCTTCCTCTCTTCCTTTCTCCTTCCTTCCTCTTGCTTTCCTTCCTTCCTTTCTCTCTCTTGCTTTCTCCTTCCTTCCTTCTTTCCTCTCTCTTGCTTTCTCCTACCTTCCTTCCCACCATTCTTTCTCTCTCTCTCTTCCCCCCCCATCTAAAGTTAAATATCATTGTCCATATCTGTTTTTACCCCTTTTGCTTTTATTTTTGGCAGTCTCGTTTAATGTTAATAAAAAGCAAAATGGCATGTTTTCCAATAAAAGTATGTAGGTTCTATATTTGTTCATGCCTTGTGGCTTTCAAATATCTGAGGCTTATTCTCTTACGTTAAGCAAGTTCGGCCACCCCTGGACTACGTGACCCTGGAGGTCCCTTCCAACTCTATGATGCTATGGTTCTATGATTCTAACTCAGAAATAGGACAGATAAGCTGTAGTTTCTCCCAGTGCGTCTCATCCTATGTGGGTCTGCCCCTTCTGAATGGGGGTGGGGGAATGGGGTGGGCTGTCCTCCCTATCCCCAGCCCCGTTCTCACGGCCTCTTCTCGCTTCCAGGGACCGCACGTGCACCGTCCTGAACGTGGAGGGGGACGCCATTGGCGCCGGCCTCCTGCAGGTGTACTCGGAGAGGACCGTGGGCCGGGTGGAGGCGGAGGAGCTGATGGAGATCAAGACGGACGCAGCGGGCGGCGGCCAGAGGGGGCACGCCGAGGAGGGGTCTCCGCTGATCAAGAAGGGCACGCACCCACCTTTGGTGCGCTTCAACTCTTGCGAGAAGGAATCCGTGATGTAACCGGGCGGGCGGAGCCCGGAGTAGCTGGAGACTTTGTTTTAAAAGAAACCGTGTAGGGTTCAAACGTTGAGGACGGCATTGAGATCTGCCCTATCCTTCTAAAACTTGAACTTCCTGCCAGGAGGCGCGGCCGGTGATGGGGACTTCTTCGTGCCGCTGCCGCTTTATGTTCGACTGCTCAGGCTTCACGCAGCTTACGGGTGTCGGGGCTTGATCCCGCCTGGGAAAACAGGGTCCTGGAAACCTGCCCCCCCCTTGAAGTAAGATGGTGGGGCTGGAGGCGGCGGCTGGGGCTTCTGCAGCGGCTTACGGGTGAGAGGAAAAGCACACTCTGTGCATCCTCAGAGGCTCTCTGCTTTGCACGTTCCAGACTGATTCCACCTTCTCTCCCCCTCCCCCACAAGCAATTTAACTCTTGAATCCACAAGATGAAAATGGGCAGCTGTGTCCGGAGAGGCCCCCGCCCCCGGAATCACTCCCGTCTCCTCTTTGCGACCTCCAGCTGCCCTTGCTGCTTTTACGTTTTATTTTAAATATATTTTTGGACCAAACAAGCAAAAAGAAGGGGGCCTCCGAGTCTTTCCTGTGTTCAGTATTTGCGTCTTGTCTCGTTCCTCAACCCCCTTTGCTCCCGTCTGCGGTTTGTTACCACGGGGCGGGATGGCGGAATTTCCTCCAGGGTACGTTTTGAAGCTCGATGTCCCCACTTGTATCTGACGAAGGGAGCTCTGACTCTTAAAAGCTTATACCCAGTTTGGTGTAGTGGTTAAGTGCGCGGCCTCTAATCTGGGAGGACCGGGTTTGATTCCCCACGCCTTCACATGCAGCTGCTGGTGTGACTCTGGGTCAGTCACAAGTTCTCCTACGGCTTGCCCCAAGGTCATCCAGCCAGGTGCAAGGGGAGGAGTGGGGAATCAAACCCGGTTCTCCCAGATTAGAGTCCACACACTTAACCACTACACCAAGCTGGCTCTAGGATACACGAATGAAGTGCAAAATGCATCTTCTTTCTTCCTTTCTTCAATTTACACCTCACCCTCCCTGCCCAAGCAGACTTGAACTTTTTTGTAGCAATATTCCTAACCTTCCAAGCTAAAAAGAGAAGAAGAGGAGATTGGATTTATACCCCGCCCTCCACTACCCAGAGGTGTCTCAGAGCGACTCACAATCTCCTTTCCCTTCCCCTCCCCACAACAGACACCCTGAGAGGTAGGTGGGGCTGAGAGAGCTCTTGACAGAAGCTGCTCTTTTTCAAGAACAGCTCTCATCAGGACTATGGCTTGCCCAAGGTCATCCAGCCAGGTGCAAGTGGAGGAGTGGGGGATCAAACCCGGTTCTCCCAGATTAGAGTCTGCGCACTTCACCACGACACCAAACTGGCTCCTACACCAAACACTGACCATGACTAGTGGCCAGGTCTGTAGCCTGGCTTGTAGGTTTTGTGGCTTGTGGGGCGAAAAAATTTCTGGTGGGGCTGCCATTATTTTCCATAATGAAGCAGGTGGGGTGGCGTGCAAGATTTAAAGGGCCCTTCGGCTGATCGGCGGGGAGCACGTGGCCGCCGATCAGCTGGAGGGCCCTTTAAATCTTGCAGGCGGGCAGGGAGAGGGCCGTGCACCATCCCCAGTTTCTTCTCAAAAGCATTTAAAGGATCCCTTTATATGCTTTTGGGGAAAAGCGGGGGGGGGAGCTTTAAGAAGTGGGGGGCCTTCAAGGAAGGGGGCTGGCCCATTAAGGAAGGGGGCAGCGCCCCCAACAGCCCCACCATAGCCACGGGACACCTAGTGGCCATCGATGGCTCCATGAATTTCTCTGCTCCTCTGTTAACGCCTTCCAGTCTGGCGGCCATCATCACATCCTGTGGCAGTGAGTTCCACAATTTACGCACTGTGTGAAGTAGGACTTCCTTGGGTCTGCGCTGAATCTCCCGCCTTTCATCTTCAGTGGATAATCCTGAGTTCTAGTGTTACGGGAGAGGGGGAAGAGTTGCTCCTTTGTTCGCTCTCTCTGCACCAGGCATAATTTTATAGACCTCTATCACGTCTCCCCTTACTCGTTTTTTTTTCCCCCTAGGCGAAACAGCCCTTGCCGATCTTCATAGGGCAGCTGCTCTAGCACGCACACACACACACCGATCATTTTGTTGCTCCTTTCTACACTTTCACAAGCTCTGCCGTCTCCTGTTTAGCCGGGCTGGCTATGGGCAAGTGCCGTCTTGCAAGGGCGAGATGGGGCTTGTTGCGTGTGCCCGCCCCCTGGGCTCTTTACTGCCGGAGCTCCGCTCCTGTGCGCTCCTGCTGGAAATGACCCCTGGATGTGGGGCTTATTGCCCTGCTAAAAGGTGCGCGCTTCTGTTTTTTAACCATTGCTTCTGATGGGATTTTCTCGATGGGAAATTGCCCAAGGGGGTACGACCAAAGCCCGAACGCGTCCTTGCTTTTCCTTCCAAGGTTTAGAAGAGGTTCCACAAAGCCAGTTGTTGGCAAGTGGATTAGACTTCGGCCTCTCTCGCCCCTTCCCCGCCTCTGTACCTTGGCCCTGTTTTCTTTCTTGGGCCATACGATGGACGTGGAAGGGGGGGGGAAGTGCCCTCTGCACTCACTAGGGTTGCTGGGTCGTCCCCCCCCCCGGGGGAATGGGGGAGGCAGGGTTGCCAGATCCAGACTGGGAAACTCCTGGAGATTTGGGGATGGAGCCTGGGGAGGGCCAGGGACCTCAGTGGGGTACAATGCCCCAGAGTCCACCCTCCACAGCATCCATTCTTCTCCAGGGGAACTGATCTCTGTAGACTGGAGATGAGTTGTAATTCTGGGGCATCCCCAGGCCCCGCCTGGAGGCTGGCGCCCCTAGCTCTCCCTGAGGAGAGCCAGTTTGAGTGTCGTGGTTAAGTGTGCGGACTCTAATCTGGGAGAACCGGGGTTGATCCCCCACTCCTCCACTTGTACCTGGCTGGATGACCCTGGGCAAGCCATAGTTCTGATAAGACCTGTTCTTGGAAAAAGAGCAGTTTCTGTCAAGAGTTCTCTCAGCCCCACCCACCTCACAGGGTGTCTGTTGTGGGGAGGGGAAGGGAAAGGAGTCTGTCAGTCGCTCTGAGACTCTTCTGGGTAGTGAAGGGTGGGGTATAAATCCAATATCTTCTTCTCCTCTTCTTCTCCTTCTGCTCAAAAGAGTTCTCTCACCATTAGCTTCTGGGTACAGGAGGCCTTGTGAAAGCTGTGTGGGGATCCAAGATGGGAGACCGCCCTCTAGGCCGGGGGTCCACAGCCTTTTTTTGAGACTGCGAGGCCATTTGGAATTCTGACGCAGCCCGGTGGGCACAGCCACAAAATGGCTGCCACAGGAGACAGAGCCAGCCACAAAAACAGCCGCTGTACCTTCCCTTCAGTCACACAGTGAAGATCTCCTGCTGTGCTGGCGGCAGCTGCCAAAGCAACTGTTTTCAAAAATCTGCACCGTCCATCAAATCTCCAGTGGCCAATCAGAAGCCCTGCTGGGCAGAAGCCTCATCTGGCCCCACCCACTTTCTAAAAAACGCTCCGAGGGCGCCCCGGTCGGAGGGCGCCCCGGCGCCCACGGGCACCGTGCTGGGGACCCCTGCTCAAGACTGTGTTTAAAATGAAATCAGCAGTAATCAGGGCTCTTTTTGTAGAAAAAGCCCAGCAGG